CCCCCTCCTGCCCCCTCCTCACATTGGGGATTCCACATAGCCGGTGCAGCACGCCGCGGTGTCCCCATGTGTTCTGCGCTACCACCCACGCGTCACCATGCCTTCTGTCCGCCCCACACCTCTTTTGTCTCCCTTCCTGGGGTCGGCGGCACTGGGCGGCAGCCCTTAAATAAGTTTAAGGAAAATGTCTACAGGAAACCCTTTTCACCCCCAACTAATTAATGGATTTCCTGCAACTTTTCCCTGAAACCAATTATCAATTCTGTGACTTACATCATTCATCTTCTCTTGCCATGTTGCACCAAAACCCTGCTTCGGACCACCCTTCTCGACAGCCATCGGCGAAACCCAGCACGCCGGCGCCTGTGCCGGCGGGTGGATCGGAGCCTGGATTGCTTCACGATCGTCGCATATCGAAGTGTCACAGAGACTCTGACAGACCGTGCAAAAAAAGGAAACGAAGTGTCCCAATTTTGGACCACGGCTTGAACTCACCCAGTATTGTTTAGGGTATAGTCCTCTTTGTGTGCATTATGGCTGGTGGGATCTCAAAATATCTCTTTGGGGTCCTGGTTGCAGCGCTTTAAGCTTGTCTTGCTGCAACTACATCTGCTTTTGTATGTGGCACTGTTGCATGATAAGCCATCCAACATCAACATCGAGGGCAACAGGGATCCAATCAGCCTCATGTCCCAACGTGGTTACCTGATGGGAGTTCATGATCCAAAAGGATGACCTGCACAAAGGTGGGCGAAGACTAAGACCTGCCTTCAACTATGCTCTTTCGTAGCTAAAGTGCGGCTCAGAAAACAATTCGGTCGGCATGGAAGGGCTACAGTCCTCTGACACGCCAGCATATGACGGTGGATTTAGCATCTCTCCTAGACGACGACTTAGAACCTTGGCTTTTTCAACGATGCCGATGACCTTCATCCTTCATCTTTGTTCCGGATCCTGCAGAGCGCCACGCGTCATCCTCCAGTCCCCGCAGAGCGGCACACGAGCTTGGCCTGCAGGCTCTCGAGCCTATCTCCTGAATTCAACGGTGCCCTGGCGGCTCGGATCTTCGCTATGTATGCGGGCACCAATTCTCCAGGCGAAGCAGTTGAAGGTCTTGCAAGGAGGGAGTTGCCGCTCTCGTGCATACTCTTTGATTGCTTGAGAACTCTCATCTTTTGAATATCCATGGCAGTATTCTCCACTCGTTTTCTTCTCTTTTGAAAGAAGGCCTGTATTCTTGAGTACGTCAATGATGCTCTTCATATGGTTTGCAGCTGCTGCTTGCTGTTGCCACTGGCCCGAGTATGCACTGGAAAGAAATGCGGCCCGTAGTTTCTCTTTCACATCATGGCTGCAGTCAGAGGCCTCGGGACTAGCCTCGGGCAGCAGGTCCATCTTCCGCAAGATATTCTTGTTGTCAGCTGTATTGACAAAACACAGCATGGCCCTTGTAACGCTTGCACAGCAAGCTCTCTTGAATCCTTTAACATAAAGGGCCCGCCGCCCAAAATACAACGAACATGCAGTTGAGTTGCCGTAGGTTCGGCGAACAGTTTCAGTGGAGCGCCCCCGGTGGCCATAGAGTGGCAAAAAAGAAGCAAACTGACCAGAATTCCTTTGCCAAGATGTGGTCTTGGAAGCCGCCTTGATTCTTTTGTGCACTGTCAAAGTCTGAGTGGGGAAAACAGTGAGTCATCCTAAACCATTGACAAACCAGAACTTGATGCACGCTTGTCTGGGGTGCCCCGAATATCCAAGATCTTCAAGGAATGATTTCACCTGCTGAAACTTCTTCTCGTAGCTTGGTCCGTCTAGTGTAAAGGGATCTGAAAGTTGCACTGAACCAGCTCCATCTTCATGAAAGATTGCTTGAACACGTGCACGGCGGTCTTCAACGTGTTTCAACTTCAAGACTTCAAGTCCCTTCTCTTGAAATTTTGCTGCCACACCACCACAGGACTCAGAAAGCATCACCAAATAACTGGGTTTGGTGGCCTTCAATTTCATCCTTATATATCCAGAAAATCTGCATCTTCCGTCAACAACGCAATTCTATGTACACCACGACGCATCGAAAGCTTCTCCAATGTAGATTCAATGGCCTCATCGTTGGGCTCTCTCGAGTGGTCCTTCGAACGAGGAACTGGTCGGAATGTGATGTCAGGATCTCGCAAGAAATCTTTCCACCTCCGGATTTCCACCCGCCGTGGTTCAGCAAAGACTTGTGTGCGAACAGTGCTGCCCATGTCCTTCAAACGGCTTATCGCATGCTTGACGAGTTCAATACTCCCACGATCTGCATCCACCAGAAGCTCGGTGATCGGTGATGAGGCACGTGCTATGTGAGATCTTCCTGATCCAAGCTGCTTCCTGCACCTCTTTTTTTGATGCACTCCTACACCAGCTAAACAACTCAGCCGCCACTGCAATGGCCACTGTTTCCGATAAGCCCAGTCAAAGCCTCTGCCAAGCAGGCCATGCTGCCAAGTACTTCGCAGCAGACCTGGGCTTTGCACAGTCGAGGCTCGGCGCCATCCACTGGGCCACGGATGAACACGCGACGACAGTGACATGCGACGAGTGAAATGGCTTGACAAAACGCAGCCGAACGCTAATGACTGATTGGATTCATAACGTTTTTAGATACTTAAGATACGTTCAATCTGCATTCACGTTCAATAACAAGAAGCTACTAGGGGCTCCTAACAGTACTATACTAGTAGCATTCTTGCAAAAAAAGACCGAAGCCCTGAGGATTTGAGACACAGCTGCGGACGACCTTGAAAAGCAAAGCAAGTTCAGGCGGACAATACCTTTAGTGACTTTAGTGCCCCGCTTCTGTCAGGCTGCGGTTTTACTGAAGGTGTGTGTCCAAGGTGTGTGACACGAACTCCACCAAGCCCAAGCCAAGCCACGCTCAGTTCCCGTGTAAAACCGACCCCTTGCACCCTCCCAACGGTCCCCTCAGATCGAGAGGTCGACACATATACGAGTCCCATCCACGGGGTGCACCTCCCAAGGAATGGGGATTTCCTGGTCGACATGATCCAAATCAACTGGGCAGTTCTCCCTATGTAGCAGCTACACATCCTGTCCTTACTAGCAAGAATGCTCCTAGTAGTCATGCCCTTTGTGACGTTCAATAGCTTCTTGTTACGAACGTAGGACGGCCAGGAGCTACTTACTAGCGTCTTCTTGCTCCGTTCGTAGCGTCTTCTTGCTCCTTGGAGACCTTCGCACGGGTCTTGGGAGACCTTCGGGGCCAAAGACGCGCTGGACACTCTGGGCGCTCCCCGCGCGTCGGCCGGCCGTCGGACGTCAACGCTCGCGCTCGCGGGGCTCGCCGTCTCCGATCCACATGGATTGGTCATCGTGCACCTGGAGAGACTGGAGGTGAGGCCCCTACTTGTATGGGTAGGTCAGGAGCTCGGCTGGAGTTGTTCAGTTGAAAGTTGTTTCTTCCATGTTCCGGAACTGACCTCATTTGGTGAGTTTGCAAGTTGTTTGTTCAAAAAAAAGACAGGACTTGATCAGTTCTTCATACATCCACACTTATTTATTGGCACGCACCGGCACGCGCACCTTCAGCCGCAGCGGTGAGCGGTGCGCACAGTGAGTTCAAATCCAACAAAAAGCTCCTACACTCTCGAGTTTACTCACATGATACAACCTCACTCATGATACAACAAAAGCACGTAGACGACAGTTTACACCATCACCCAGACACGACGTGTCTGGGACTGCCAGGATGGACTGCCCCAGACAGACCCCCTCAGGTACCACCGGCCATTTCTCGGCAGTCCGGCAGTCCCATGAGTCGTCGTGTCTGGGTCTGTTCGGGATGTCCACCGAAATCATGCTTTGGTTTTGGAGGTCAACCTGGGTTTGGGGCTCGGGCTCAGGGTCTTGACATACAGCCAAATGATCCACCAGACCCTCGGAAAAAAAACAGGGCTCCAACGACCTCCTGAGAAGATGGGATTGGGGGGTCTAGCGACCTTTTGAGGATATTGATTGGAGCCCTAGGGCAAGTTCACATCGCATGATCCACCATTCGGTCCATCAACTCCTCAAAGTTCCTCAAAATTATACCAGCGTAGACCCCAAACAGAGCAATGTTCAAAAATGAGATCTCCGAACAATATGGCCAGCAGTATTTCCTAGAGGAAGAAAACTGTAGTCCACCATGTAGACGCACATACAAGATTCAAAGGGAAAGCATTAAAATTCTGTTTTTCATTGACTTTACAATGGGACGCCGTACAAGGGCAAAAACATGAAATTTATGGATCCAGGTTGTGACATATGTTGCCCCCCTTGTAAACACGAATGCGCAGACCCAATGTAATCCGAGACATGTGGGAGACAAGTGTGAAATCATGCGGCCTGAGCACTCAGAGTGTCCAGAGCTTACTGGGAGACAAGTGGGAAACAAATGGGAGACAAATGGCAGACAAGAGTGAAATCATGCGGCCAGACCACTGAGAGCATCCAGAGCTTACTGGGAGACAAGTGGGAGACAAATGGGAGACAAATGGAAGACAAGTATGAAATCATGCGGCCAGAGCACTGAGAGCATCCAGAGCTTGCTGGAAGACAAGTGGGAAACAAATGGGAGACAAGCGTGAAATCATGCGGCCAGAGCACTGAGAGCATCCAGAGCTTACTGGGAGACAACTGGGAGACAAGTGGGAGCCAAATGGGAGACAAATGGGAGACAAGTATAAAATCATGCGGCCACAGCACTGAGAGCATCCAGAGCTTACTGGGAGACAAGTGGGAGACAAATGGGAGACAAGTATAAAATCATGCGGCCTGCGCACTCAGAGCATCCAGAGCTTACTGAGAGACAAGTGGGAGACAAATGGGAGACAAATGGAAGACAAGTATGAAATCATGCGGCCAGAC